AATCAATTTGAACTATTTTTTTTCGGCAGATTCTATATAAAAAAATATTCCCATACTTCAAAGTTCCGTCTTTAGTTTCAATCTAATGGATGGAAATAAAAAAAAAAACTATTTTCCATAATTTCAAACAAAATTCAAATTATTTACTTTTGCAATTGATTTTTCCGAATTTTCAGGTTATTATAAAGCAATAGATTTATTTTTGTACTGAATAAGAGAAACATTTTGACTATATTATTTTTTAATTGTTTTTTTATTAAAATTAAATAGGTTAAATTGTGTGTACCTAAACTTAATAATTTAGTTTAGTTGTATGGTAAAAAATCACTGTCAATGAACGCTGATTTTTACGAAATTTGTCAAAAATAGAAACAAATTACTATAAATGTCGTTAGCCCTCCAGTTTGGAAATGACTTCTCTAAGAGGGAAAAGCTCATAGAACCGAAGTTGTAGAGCATCAAATTCTGCGTCGATTGAGTACATTTTTTTTCTCTTGAGATAAATTAAAGGTTCCAATAACTTGGGTCATTATCGCCTTATTTTCATTGAGAATTAAATTCTATTTTCAATATATTGTCAATTTCATTCGTATTGTCCTGTAAAATGATGTGTAGATCGTTTGCCAAATCACAAGGTAGTCTAAGTGTTTCGTAAACTCTGCATTCTGTTAAAATGTGTTGCATTGCCAAAGGAGCCCCACAGGTTTGTTATGTCCGCGAAGAATCACGGGCCATGAGGTATCCGTGGGTACTAATATTTTTTTAATGTAGGTCTACAATTAAAAAAAAAAAGTAATGCTGGGAAAAATTTAAAAAAAAAAATCAAAATTAAATTTCATAAAACGCTGCAAATTATTTCACAATGGTTTATTATTTCCAAACTATTATACTTATAAAGTAATTATTATCTTCCTAGTGACAGAGAAAAAATAATAAAAGGTGATTCCAATTATTGGACTAAACATTGTTTTTTTTAATCATTAGTAATTTACTAAAAAAATTAGCATTACTTCAGTAACACATACAAAAATCAGAAACCAAAACAAAGGATATAACCTTTGCAGCAGAACATATAAAAAAATCTAGAGACCATTTCATTGCTCCTAGTTGTCCCATTTTTTTTTTTTTTTTTTTTTTTTGTTAATTCCATAAACTTTTAAATAACAACATACAATATTAACAAAAAAGTGTGTACTGTTTGAGTTATTAGGAATATAATTTTAACATCCCTCGTAACTTTTTTTCTTCAGCTTCTTTTGGTTGAAGTATGTTATATAGATAAATTGAAAGGGCATCGAGAAGAAGACTTTAGTGCAGTTTCATTGAAATCGGTACATTCGTTTAGGCGCTACTGTCTATAGCAAAGCAGATTTTTCGGTCGCCATCTTGAAAGGAAAAGGCGGATAGATATGTCGATGAAGGAGGATCATTCTCGGGTAACCTCTAATTTTAAATCTAAATTTTAAAAAAATCGGTCCAGTAGTTAAAATTTTTATTTGTTTTTCGAATTCTACGTATCCTGAAACGTAAACCTTAAATTTTGAGAATGGGTTATGTATTTGAATTTTTAGTTCGATCACAATGGTTTATTATTGAAAATAATAAACCAAAAACTAAAGAATAAGAATATTAAAATTAATTCCAATAAATAATATTAAATAATCATTACCCTTCATCTTAATCCTATGACTACCTGTCCTACATATATTTTAATAGTATCTCTACTACGCCTGTAGAATAGATCCTAGGACAGACGTATTACTTGGAATTCTCATACAATACTGGACCGACAAGAAACTGCTTCTAGCCAGACAAGCACTCTATGCTTTCAATTAATTACAAAAGTCTGGTTTACATGAATTTAATATAAAATTCTGGACTCTCCTTACTTTGTCACCTAAACCGTCCATAATGACCTCACTATTGCAAATTTTGCCGATTTGGTCCAATCCAGATATTGATTCTGCAATAATAAATTCCAAGCCGATTCGAACCTACTGTACTCATAATCCTCATAGCCTTCTAAAAACAATTGAGCTCAGGGCCTCCTAAAATAGAACTGTTGGATTACTAACAATAGATATTAACAATATTAGTTTAATCCATGTTATTATATTTTGTGTTATAGTCCACATGTGAATTTTCAATAAATACATTTCGATAAATAAATAATATTTAATAATGTACTATAGAATCTGGAGATTTAATCATTCCACTATTTGCAGCTGAGTAACTTTGTATAAACTGACTAAAGAATGGAAGCAATAATACCTCATACTATACAGCACATATCTGCCGGTTACGAGGCCTAAACGGAATTATTAACTTTCTATTAATAAACTTTGATTGCCCGAATTGTTCAATATTTACTCCCGTAACAAAGTTGTATGTTTGATAAATTATAATTAATTAAGCTATTGTTACGCCATATTAAGGTCACCATTCGTGGAGTGGTTAGAAATCCTTTGCCATTATTATCGTTTATAAAATTTATTTAAACCCTCCATTTCAAATCATTGAATAAAGGTTATGTGTAAAAAATTTATTTTTTCTTTTCATAATTATAGGAGGGTTAACATGTATTATTTGCGTGTGTATCGATTGATTATACGCAGTATTTAGGGCAAAGATACATTATTCACACCGATTCACAAATATATCATAGACAATACAGAGTTTTAATATGGATCAAAAGTGTACAAGGATATTAAGTGATTTGGAAGTAGACATATTATGATATAATATATATATATATATATATATATATATATATATATATATTATATATATATATATATATATATATATATATATATATATATATATATATATTCATATATTTATTATTTATCGCGATACAGGTGTTGTTGATGGACTACGCATATATCACTTCTAGATCTTTTTCTTTTCTTTTATTTTCCGCCCATATTCTTTTCATTTTTTTTCTTCCATCTCCCCCTTCTCTTCTCAGTCCATTTCTTACACTCTTGCTTCTTCTTATCTGCTAATTTTTTTTTTTTTTTATTACTTTCTTAATTGAATATTAATACATTCTGCCACATTGAAGGGCATTAATATTAAGGCTACATGATTCATTCAAACAATATGTACATACAATTAATATCAATAATAATGAAAAAGAAATCTAAAAAAAATATAATAAGTAAATTGGTATGCCTGTGTACAAAAAAAAAATTAAATAATAGATAAAAGCTAAATGAAATTAAAGTAAATAAATCACATTCACACCTATGTACAATATTTACATTCAGCCAGGGGACTCTGAGTCATGCCTTATTCCCCGACGTGGAAGCCAAGGCAGGACTCCAGGAGATCCCAGTGCTTCTCTCTCAGCCGGGTCATTGGTATTTGCTCTGCTAAAATAACCTTTTTATTTTTCACTATTTTCCCAAATTCATCCCTATCTTGTAAGTCCTACTGTTTGATACCATTTTTTTCACTTCTTCTTTTATTTGTTCTAGATGACCTTTTATGTTCTTCAGTACCATTAGCCTATCGAATATTTGTTTGTTCAGTTTGTTTATTCAGATCCATTCTCTTCATATGCCCGAAGAACTTTAATCTTCTTTTTCTCATCGGTGATTCCAAGCTTCAATCTGTTCATAAAGCTCATCGTTCTTTTTTAATAGGTATTCTTCTCCAACCTTTCTGGGCCCGTATATTATTCTCAGAATCATTCTTTCTGTTTTCAGTAGTGATTTCATTCATTGGTAAATCCCATAATCTCCGCCCCATAGAATACCAACGGTTTTATGACTGTTTTATGATGTCTAATTTTGATTTTTGTCTAATTCGGACTGAAGTTCTCCCCAAAATGGTAAGATAGAACCATGTTTTATAAAAAAATATTTAAAAAAAGTATTATTGTTCGTCTGATTATATTTAGTTGGACCTCAAGAATCAATTAAACACCACTTCATATAGGTATTTAGTTTCTTTCTTTTTCTTCCAAAGTAATTATCATAATACATATATATAGAAGAAGAATCAACTTTATTCTGGGACAAAGTCCCTTGAGAATAACAATATTGTACATACAAATTAACATAAAATCTGGCCAAGATGCATATTACAATAAAAAAACAAAAAAAGAAAAACTAAAAAATAAGTAATAACAGAAGGATTTACATAACTATACCGATATATTAAAGACATAATATGAGCAATAAAGTCCTAATACTACAAAATAGTTGCTAAAAACAATAAACTATGGAATTTTAAGTTAAATTTGAAATGAACGACAAATTACTTTTGTTGTCATACCATTGTATTAATGAAAAAAATAATAATAAAAGAATGAATAAATATTTACTTTAAATGATTTATATATGTACCTTAATATGTTTAAAGAATACAATAATAGTATTGTAAACATTATACAAGTCCTATATAATCTAAATCCTAAGATGTAGATTGATCGGTGAAAATAAAATAAAATATATATATATATATATATATATATATATATATATATATATATATTATATATATATATATATATATATATATATATATATATATGATAGTAATTTCTATGGCGCAAAAGTCGGAGTCACTATGTTGGGATAGTAATATTGCATCAGCAAGTTTGTTGTTGAGTATGATAGCAGTTCTGGGTTTGGTGTCATATGTTTGGTAAATTTGATATCTTTGTGAATATCCTGTTACTTTGATATTTCGTGTGTACGGTTCTTGAATAAGAGTAATGTCTATGTGTTCGCTTTGTATAAAATGGTTCAAGTAGTCTGTCGCTGATTTCGAATGATGTGTATTTAACTATATTATCTTTAGAAGTCTGTCCATACTGAAGTAAAGTTAGTAGTCTGTGTTTTGTGATAGTTTGTTAATTTCTCTTATGAATGAGGGACAGTTTCGGTCTAGTGCAGAATGGTTATGGTCTATTTTGTTTTTGTCTTGTCGGACATGTCGGTTAAAGTTAGAGCAGTTGGGACACTTACGAGTTGGTTCGCAGCAGTCCTTCAGCCGATGGCTGCCGCAGCAGTTGGGAAGGTGGTCGTTCCTTGGCACTGATCCTCGGAGTGGTGAAATTTGCAGCACTTGGTGCACCGGCGAATCCTCCAATAGTCTTCTGCCCAGTGCTTCTTATGTCCCAATCCTATCTTGTTGTATATTAATTTGGTTCTTGTGGCAGCATCGGTTTCGATTACCGCGTGGATCCTATTGTTCCGTCGATTCTTCAGAAAGATGACAGGCCTTATCGAGCTCGGATCAATTTCCAGCGCCGCGTTCTGTTTCACGAGATGTTCCGTGAAATTCTCTATGGTCACTTCTTCGTCAATGTCTTTGAAGATTAATTTTGGTTTTCTTCTGTTGGCTTGCCGGACAACCAGATCTTGCGCGTTTTGTAGTTTTTGTTGAATTATTTCTCTTTCATGTGGTGTATTGGTTTCAACTATAATGGAGTCTTTTTTAGCAGAGATTTTATTGATTCCAATTTGTAAATCCTTTGGCTTTATGACCGTTTTGAATTCCCTTTTTAGTACTTCTGCGTCCTTTTTCGATTTACTTTTGATAATGAGGTTAAATAATGGCAACTTTCGATTGGGTTTTGATACCTGTGAATAAGATGGTGTAAGGTTGGTAGTCTCATTAATGGTTTCATTTCTTGTAGGTTGATTCAAGATAGAAGAAGTGTAATGTACGTAATTTTGTATATCGTCTATCGCTTTGAGGAGATTTATTTTAAGGTCTTTCCTTAAAATCGAAAATTCAGAAACTTCAGCTAATGTTTTTAGAGCGTTTCCGAGCGGATTGTCGTTGTTGGGCATTTTAAAATAGTCAATGATCGCAAAACACAGTAATGAATAACACGCGATATTAAACCAGTGGTCAAAAGAAATAGAAGTAACAGTTATCGTCACATAATCTTCGGTAGAGACACCGAGTCTAGTAGTTAAGATTAGACTGAGACTATTACCTAATAACTTAAACTATTGTATAATACTTATTATAATCAATAATTGCAAATTCCGTAATTGCAAAGTAATGATACCGATATTGTACAGCTGATATTTGATAATTAATATCTACACTCTCTTGAGCCTAAACAATAAAGAATATTTTATAATTAAATATATTATACTATATATTGTAGTTATAGAGCTATATCTAATAACTATAATCTAAAATCCTAATAATGAATGTTTATATATACATGGCAACGAATGGCAATGACTTGAGGTAATAACTAAGAGATTAATAATAATTAGTCGACAATATAGTAATCAATAAGTAATATAGTAATCAGTATAGCAATATAAAAATCAATAATATTCTATATTAATCAATAATCCTTCAATCATATAATAATAACCTACTAATCAAAATATATCCACAAAATCTTAAACTAAACTCATTCGATATAATAACCAAAAACTAAAATCAATCAAAACACAACTTAATAACCTAACACAAATAAACAAAATATGTACACAAAATCTTAAAATAAACCCATTCGATATTATATTAACCAAAAACTAAAATCAATCAAAACACAACTTAATAACCTAACACAAATAAACAAAATATGTACACAAAATCTTAAAATAAACCCATTCGATATTATATTAACCAAAAACTAAAATCAATCAAAACACAACTTAATAACCTATCACAAATAATAACCTAATAAACAAAATATGTACACAAAATCTTAAACTAAACCCATTCGATATTATATTAACCAAAAACTAAAATCAATCAAAATACAACTTAATAACCTATCACAAATAATAACCTAATAAACAAAATATGTACACAAAATCTTAAAACTAAACCCATTCGATATTAAATTAACCAAAAACTAAAATCAATCAAAACACAACTTAATAACCTATCACAAATAATAACCTAATAAACAAAATATGTACACAAAATCTTAAACTAAACCCATTCGATATTATATTAACCAAAAACTAAAATCAATCAAAACACAACTTAATAACCTATCACAAATAATAACCTAATAAACAAAATATGTACACAAAATCTTAAACTAAACCCATTCGATATTATATTAACCAAAAACTAAAATCAATCAAAATACAACTTAATAACCTATCACAAATAATAACCTAATAAACAAAATATGTACACAAAATCTTAAAACTAAATCCATTCGATATTAAATTAACCAAAAACTAAAATCAATCAAAACACAACTTAGTAACCTAACACAAATAATAAGCTAATAAACAAAATATGTACACAAAATCCTTAAACTAAACTCAATCAGTATTATAATAACAAAACTAAAATCAATCAAACCACACCTAATCAATATTATAATAACTATATCGCATCAAACGATATAATAATAAACTATTAATATATGTGTATATACACAAAATATTTAACTAAAACTATTAATCTGATATTTGCCTATAATTGTGATTAATAATAACCTAACAGTCCATATTTATACATAGAATCTTAAACTGAAAACAATCATTTTAATATTTACAGTTTTGTTTTATCGTAAATGTTACATATACGGATACGTACTCAAGTAAACTAGGGATAACCTGACGGCCACATGGAAACCTCGTGGAACCACACAACCATTAATTTATCCTAAACAAGAAGTCTAATTTAGTTCAAATTTTTAAAGAGTACGTCTGATTGGTCCTTCACTCTGATCAACGCAGAAGCACTCTATGTCCTTCTGCACCCACAAAATCTAACAAGAGTAAGCCGATTTGTTGCCACGTTGAGCACCACGCGGTGTGTTCTTTCGCGTATAATTTCGTTAACTATTGTCGAATCGGCACTGGATTTTAATTGTTGATGCGGACGCACTTGATAATCAAATTCTAATGGTTATATTACCAAAGAAGAAACTTTAACATGACTTAAAATTTGAAGAAAACAAACATATACGGACCGTTACGACATCCACTCCGCATGGCAACCAAACGAGAACTCATCTTGTTGATACTCAATTGTAAATTTGTAACATTTGTTTATTCTCCGCATAATTTTTGTATTTGATTCTGCCTCTGTTTTAGAGTATTTTGTCTTAGTATATTCTGGTACTGTTCATTCATCTGATACTGTTATTTACTTTATTTAATCGTTTATTGTTATTTATTTTATTTAAACATCTATAAATATTCTCCTTGTAATACAAATTAAGTACCATTCTTTTTAAATATCTTTAGCCAACACATATTGTAATAAGTTATATTTATAGTTATATACTAAATAACACTGTAATGCATATAATATGCTTTTGCATGGTGTATGCACACTTCTAAAAAATATACGCCTCTTCTGTAGGGTTACTACAGCAGAGAAAAAAAAAAATATATATATATATATATATATATATGTGTGTGTGTGTGTGTGTGTGTGTGTGTGTGTGTGTGTATTAAGACCCTACAACGTGTAATTAATGTTGAATCAGGATGTGGTCTACCAGGATGCTAGTAGTCCCCCTGAGGTTCGGTCCATGGACAGTCTGTTTCGGGGAAAAAATATAGGTCATCGTGCGCCTGCTGACTCCGAGCAGTCATAATCTATGGGTCTAGACCGATTGGTCACTGTCCTTGAACCCGACTGAGTCGCTAGGAAGGACAGATTGGTCCCAATGGGATCGGCTATGGAGCTATTGGTGGCCTGCCGCTGCACCATAGTGATCATGGTTCGTAGCAACGTGAGGTTGGGTGACCTCATCTCGCGGCCAAAGATCTTCATGGTCTGTAGCGCCAACTAATATATATATATATATATATATATATATATATATATATATATATATATATATATATATATATATATATATATATATATATATATATATATAAAAGAATCGGGCTGAAGACCACCTCCTCCAAATTAAATCCTGAATCTGTTAGTGAGTCCTCCTGTCCAACCTGCGTACGCCCATAGAAGATATGTTTCTGCATTGAGAAAAATCTACAGCATCTGCCAAAATTCAAAGGGATCTTATTCTATCTAAACACATGATTTTTTTGTAATAAAGTGGAAGGTTAAAGTATATGAATTCAGCTCCTAGTTTTTATGGTTAAATCACATTAATTGATAAGTTTAGAATGAATTAGTTAAGATTTTTACTGCACATAATTTGAGATTCATCAAATAAATTCTCCCAAAATGAGTTAAGATAGTACCTTTGTTCTTATGATAAGATGTAAGACAAATGAGCTGTTTATTTTCTAAGTGTTCCCTAAACATTATTCATTCGGATACGGATAAAAAAGCTTTTGATGATTTTGTAGTTTCATTATAGTTGTTGAAATGTAAGGTCGGTTTAGGAATTTTCGCACCAATTATTATCATGTTTAGATTTTTTAAAAATAATTGCACCATCACATTCATTTAAATTATATTGTTAAATTATCTCAATTATCAACAAAAAAAAAAATCTACCTATTTAACTTTGTAAGATAAGAACCAGAAATGATTCCAACAGCGTAAATTTTTCATGCAGCAGAGTATTACATTTAATTATATTCAAATAAATTGAAACTTACTCGAATATGACTTGTTAATGTTGATCATCTGACCGTCATCCCTCCTCCACTTGATGGTAGGTTCCGGAGATCCGTTTGCGGAGCAGGAGAGGGTCACGTTGTTTCCCTCCCTGGTGATCACGTCCGAACTGCTCAAGGAGTCCTCTATGTCTGGGGGAACTGGAACAAGAGAGGAACAAATTAGCTAAAGGAAGTGGGAGGGAAGAAAGAAGGAAAGATAAAAGTGATTCTATTTTTACGCCAGCAGTCAATTACTTTAACACATGACTGAAATCTGTCGTTAAAGCATTCTATTTTCTCTTATTCTGAGAAAAAAGAAATAATTTGTTTACTGTTCCAGTTTCATTTCGCTTCCGAGAAAAGAAAAAAAAATCATGAACCAAAGGTTGGAACTGTTTTAAGTTGTAGATTAATAAATAACGAAGGAAGCGCTCAATATTCTCTTACTCTCGTCGGCCAAAGCAGAAACTAATCTATTCTTTAAACCCGATTTTTAGGGGAGGAAATTAAAAATAAAGTATTCCTACAGTACGGTATTAACCATAGTTTAAATTTTATTTTGAATCGATATGAAATTTTTAAACAAATATAAAATTATCCGATCATGTCAATTATAAGAATTTGTCACTAGAACTAGTTTTTTTTTAAATTTAATAAAAATAGTAATTTTATAATATATATATATATATATATATATATATATATATATATATATATATATATATATATATATATATATATATATATATATATATATATATATATTTCTTATAATAAGGGTTCGAAATCGATAATCAAAAGAATTAAAATTAAAATCAAATTTAATCAAAATTTTTATGTGCAATTTTTTAAAATCAATTAATGATTTATTTTAATCATAAGTGATAAAAATCATATCACGATCATTATTTTTAAATAAAATGTTTACAATTGACAATTATAATAATTCATGAGTTTAAAATCAGAAATATAAATCTTTTGTAATTACTATGATATATTTTGAGTCTAGAATAGTAGATGGAGAACATTGTTGTCAACCGTTAACAACAGAACATCTTTAATTAAAAAATTCATTAGAAATTTTGGCTTACAAAATATATGTGTATATTGTATAGTACATAAACAAATATGTATACATTATTAATGTATACATACATATTCTATTTAATGTATAAGTTAACTAAGAGAAGAAAATAAGTTAATTTAATTTGTGAGTAAAAGGTGATTTTTATCACAATATAATCATTATTATTGATTGATAATTATTTTTAATAGAATCAATAAACATTAAAGATCTATTTAAATATTCATTTATAATTCAAGCATGGTTTTTAAATAAGAAATCAAATATTATAATTATTATATGATTTTGTGTAAAATTAATTATTGGTTTGAAACCCTGGTAATAATCAGGACTTGAAATAAAATTTTAACTTTTATATATTTGTAACCAGTTTTTGTATCTTTATTTTCATTTTTCACTATTATTTATGAACTACTAACTTTTTCATTTTTTTAATATAACTTTACAACGTTTCTAATAAAGGTTTTACAGAGCTTTTATTTTTTCGAAAAAACATTCCAAAGAATATTCCCTTGTTTTCGCTAAAAATTCGTTTAAAAACGAAATTTATTTTTAGCTATCCTCAGAGGCGTCTGAAAAGAAGATGGCCGCGTGATCTCCTTTTGTAGACATATTATTAGAGTGCTACCTGTGGGTAGTTTCTCAACAAGCGTTTTCAAGTGATTATATTCTTGTGTAAATATTTACTTGATGTATTTATATTGTAATACAGTTGTAAATATCTTGAATAAATAGTTAAAAATAGTTAATTTTTAGCCATTTGTACCAACGATGAATTAGAATGAAATAATTCATTTAATAATAAATGAAATAATTATAACTCTTATCTAAAAAAAAAAAGTTTATTTCACTTATTTTTACTTAACTTTTTTTTAAGAATTTAAATAAATAAAGGTTAAACTTTAACCAAAAACCTAAAAAATTATAACTAAAATGTTCCTTAGATCTTTTATTTTTTTTAAAAAGGAAGGAGAAGGTCCGGGGTTGCGGTCATAAAAAGGCTAAATAGTGGTGAAACTATTTTATTTTTTTTACACCTTTTTTCTAAAAAGTTACACATAAACTGTTAAAATGGAACTATTTAAAAAGTTTCATTCACTGTTCATAATAATTGCTTAGTTATTAAATTTAAAATGTGTTCATGTTTGTTTTTGAAAATTTTATTTAAAGGAAATGACGCGCTAGGAAAAAAAATACTAATGATTAATAAAAATAGAGTATAAAAATTATTACTCACTTATTTGACTTATAAATAAAATCAACATTTAATGTGAGTTACACTAAAATCTCAACAGATGGGATTATCCATGTTTGTTTATTGTGACGCGTAAATGTATATTTCATTTTGTTTAAATTTAAACTGTAGTTAAAATCTTTTATATTAATTTAAGTATGTTTCTAAAAAGTTTCATTCAGGGTCTTTGAAAAACTCCGTATCTGTATCTGGCATTTAAATTGCAAAACTGTCTATATCCAATGTTTTCAAACAGAAATTACAAAAGTAGTATTTCATTTTGGTCTTTCGTTAGTCTAATTATTATTGACTGTTAAAATAAATAACGTACTGGTTTATGTTAAGTATTAGCACTTTTAACCGATACCAGAAATCGTTATGAAGAGTTAAATTCTAAGATAGATGAGCGCGCTCACTGACCAACTTTCACTCACCACATTTCTTTATAGTTTATAAATTAATTTATACTTCGACAGGCTTGTGAACATATTGTTATAAGTTTGTAGAAAAGCCTGTGTAAAAAAAAAAAAAAAAAAAGAAAGTTTCCCTGTTTTCTTCTTTATTATTTAACATATACAATCATAGTTTATATCTTCAGAATCATATTAATCTAATATGTATCATCACTATATTACCTAATATTGTAACTTATTTTAACTAATGCATACAGGTGTATATTTTTTATTACAAACAAGATGTATTCACATTTTTAATGATTTGGCGAGAACGATTTTAAAATATCTCCTTATCATTAGCTGAAATAAATTATCGTTATTAAAATACATAACTGTTTTTCTAGCTCTGTTGTCTATTTTATAAGTAGCTTGGGTTATTTTTATTTTACTCTCCTTCCTATTCTTTTCGGATATACGTGATTTTTTCCTGGCCCAGGGGAGAGGGCGGCGGATTAATATCAGAGTCCTCCCTGTCACCGGGATTCGAATTGATAATCTTCGGTTTACCAGATTACCAGTTTTACACACTCGTAAGCCGTTCGTCCATTCCACCCCGAATAGCCTCAGTCTAATCAAATCAGTCAAAATACTGTTATAAAAATGTTTGCTTTAGAATGAATGCCATAAAAGTGACGAAAAGATCCAAGTTACACCTCAGAATTATTTATTAAAACTACAAAATTTATTTATTTTTTTAAAATTTAAATAAGTGTATTCTTTACAAAATAATCTAAACACAAGAAATTAAACTGAAATGGGAAATAATTTTTAGTAGGCACCAAGTATTTGGTACACATTTTTTTCTCAACAGCGTTTTAAATTAATTTCAATAATTTACATTATGTTATAAATGAACTTTTTAATCACAACGACAATTGTATGTATTTTGACAGAATAATACTTAGTAAAATAGTTTAATCATATATAAATAATTTACAGTAATTTTTTTTTAAAGTGTTTTGCCTCTAGGTGGTATGTATATGTGTGGAATTGTTCGATCACTCCATTTCCCATTTGTTAACATAAGTTCCCTTAATCAGAATTGCTGGACTAAGGTAAATAGTTCACCGCATTGAGGAGAAAATCAAACATTGCCCTCTCCTGTCTAACAGTTCTTGCTAAATCTCACAATTTCACTATTTATAATAGTTCTTATGTTTCTATGTGGTGTACTATGTTAAAAAAAATAAATTACACTTGATTATAATTATTTTTCTATGGAAAATATAGTATTCTATGCAATTGGTGTAATGGGGATAATTATTTATTTAAATATTAAGATCTTTCTTACGAATTAGCAATTTTGATACACATTTTAATTCATTCTAAACTTTTATAAATTTGAGGGTATAATAAATTAGATTAAAAACGGCTTAATGAATAAAAAAGACGAAACGTAATATTTTTACTGAAAAATTCAGGAATTTTTGACTTTTTATTTTTAAATAAATTTGCCTTGAAGAATATAAATTGAAAATTCATGCAAGTACCCAAATTAAGTGACAAAAACGCACAAATGTAACAGATGAGAATAATACCTAGTATTTGATAGGTATTTTTAAACCATGTTTAGATGTGGAGAAAATCTACGATATTTTAAAATTATTAGTACCAACATTGAAAATGATAAGAGAAACACTTTATTGTCCTAAAATGGTGCTTTCCAATTATATTGGATTGTTGTTGACACAGCGTACTTCTGTACTTAAATCTGTTGATAATACTTTGAAACTGAATACAGACAATCATATGTTCTTTTTTTTTTTTTAATTTCTTTTCTTTTAAAACATTTTTTTTATTCAATTTATTTTTATTTTAGCTTAGTTTTTTATTATTTTGCTTACATAATCCATACATTTCTCTTCCATTTTATTTTAACTTTTTTAACTTAAATCATACTCTCTACCTAAATCATCAACTAGTATGCTCAAATATTTAAAATTACATACAATAAAAAATTAAATAAAACCTGTACAGCTAAAAACCCATGAAGGGTTATGGGTTTAGTACAATGCGAAGGAGTACTGTTACAAGTCCAACGGTTGTTCAGGGAGTTGACGTGCCAATATCGAGCTCAATCGCCAGGTTTTCCTCCTTAATTAATTATTTAATTAAGAGTACCCACTTTATAAAGGCTGGGTTTGCCCTAGGAGGGTCTCCCGGCCCCAGGGTCGACCCACGGCTGATGAAAAATTACTAGTCATCAACCGGATTCGTGCTCACCCACTGAGCCATCCCGCTCCCCGCTTATAATAATAACAATACAAAAACATGTAAATAGATGTTTCTGTATATATATTAGTTGTTTTTTAATTATTTTTAGTTCATGATTCCCTAATTTTTTTCTTTTATTTAGGGAGTAAGTTATATATATCTGTCAAGTCTT